ATTTAGATCCATCAACTTCATCTGATCCATTAATAGGCTGTTCTAGAAGCAATCAAAATAATCAAACTAATATAAGTAATATGAATAATATATGTATTCCTCTTGATTCTATCACAAATGTAATAGAAAATAATGAAGGAAGGGTTGATATTAATAGTGAATCTACAAAAAGAGTATCAAAGGAATCTACAAAAAGATTTGGTTCAGATATAGATATATCTCAAGATATTGAAATATTTAAACTGATGTTAAAAAGATTATAAAAATTTTTTTATTATTATTTTCTTTAAATTATTGTAAAATATATTTTTTTTATTAATTTTACATTTATAACTAGCTGGTAATTTTTTTTTCTCTGTACCCATTGAGTGGAAGTTACAGTATAAAATTAGGCTTATAAATTTTAGAGTCTATATCATAATTTGAATGGACTAAAAATTACTGTTGGAATATAACAGAACCTAATAAGAGTAATAAGTACATGCTACTATCCGTTTATGTGGATAATAATTACTATTTATTTCACGGGACGGTAGGGTAGATGGCACGGTAAAATTTTAGGGCATGCCCTAGTATATAAATCGTGCTTATATAACATGAGCACGACAGAGTTTATGCGTATATGACCGAATAGAAAAAAGAGTTTTTTTGGACTAAAGAGAAGTGCCTTTTATTCGGGTCCAATTTTATTATTAAAACTCTCTAAATTTTTGTATTCAAAATTGGTAGCTTTTATTCTTTATATACTTTCTTGTTATTTGACGGATACATGGGTATCGGCAGGATAATAGCAATTATACTGTCGATATCCATGATCCGTATATCATGCCATATAACTAGTTTATCTGGCAGGTATGATGTACAGTCTGACCTCTATACAATACCAAGTTGGTTGCACCATAATATGGTGATTATATAAAGGTGTGATTATAAAATTTAGACCTCTATATAATCTCAATTATAATAAAAATTATAAATTGTGATTATAAAAATTTTTAGTATGTATTTTGTATTAATAATATGGAAAAATGCTAAATACTACTTACAACTAATCAGTACACACCTTAGATCAGAGCTTTAGTATAATTTTTAATATGTTTTTAGAAAAATTTTATTTTAAGATGGGTACCCACATCTGATAAATACGGCATAATTCATTATATGTACCATCAATGTACAATATCACGCATTATTTTAAATATTTTTATCCAATTATCGTTATAAAAAATACTATATAAATGATAGAAATGACCAAACATCGATTGTACTGAAATTCTGGAACTAAATTCATCACCTTGAAATCTTAAATTTTTACTTTCGGGTTTTTACTATGCAGCAAATAATTATTAATTAAGTCTTCTAAGATTTTTTTTTTAATCAATTTCTTAATTCAATAGTTAAGTATAATAGGTGCTTCAAAATAATTTATTTCGAAAATAAATGCGTTTAAAAATCCCTATTTTTTTGAAATTCTGAAATCAGAAAATTAAATAGAGCTGAAATTTAGATTTATGTGCATCAAAATATTAATTAATTCATTTAAATTTTAGTCATATTAGTGTAGCAATTATTTAGTGATCTAAGTATTTATTATGAGCTGCTGCTCTTTTCATTTAGTTTGTTTTACATGATTAGCATGGTATGGGGGTGTGAAATAATTTAAAGTTTGTACCAAACTTATCCAGTGTTATATAGTGTTTCGCAATATTTGGATTCGATTAACAAATCCATTGTCACGGGTTACCGTGACTTAAGATCGGGGCTTGGGTAAGTTTTTTATTATTATTATTATTTTTCTTTTTTTATTTGTTTGTTTATTATAAAAAATCGTACGATAGAGATAAGGGACTGATAGATTGCAAGCAAAATGTGCGCCAATGTAAAGCCGATAATAGGAAGCTTTAAGATTGCAAGCAAAATGCGCGCAAGGGGGAAAGAAATGACCGGAGGATTTTTAAGATTGCAAGCAATCTATGTGGAAGTGATAGAAAGTATCATGGAGGGAAAAGTCAGCATAGTAATTAATAAGAACTTAAAATGTATTTAAAGCTTGAGTTTTTGCGTTAATAAAATTTTTCCCAGACTTCGATGTCTTTAATGAAGTAGAAATAAAAATCAAATTCTCACTTAACAGGCATGAGACATGTCCCCTTACAGGGGTTCAAAATGTTGTCAAATATAAATCA